AGACGAAACATAGTAGTGAAAGTTGAGTCAATGTGAAAAGATGCAGGAGTGGAAACTGAGAAGTCAGAGAGGGTTCATATAATGACATTAACAGTCAAACCATCAGGATATTCCTCTGCTCTGATGTCAATGACCATCTCAGTTTTTCTTCTTTTTTCAGAACTCTTATTTTTCTCTCTAATTAAAAAAAAAAAATGTAAAAGAAAATCTATTTAGATAAGCTCTGGAACATAACGTTCCCTCAAGAGAAAAATCCGGTGACTCTCAGATTTAAGTCTGTAATTAATCATCAAAGACATTGAAATACAAAATCCTGAATCCAATAGTAATTTCCTCTGAATCCTAGCAGGAAATGGAAAAGACCTCAGGCTGGAACTCTGTTTGTAAACAGTTCATCTGCTGAGAGCAAACTGAGCTTTTATTTAGGAGAATTATAAAAAGTTTCCTGGTTGTTTAGAGACTTGAGAGGTTTTGCGTCATCCTATTTGTTGGTGACACTCTAGGAAAATTAGTGAAAAGGCACAAATATCTGTAATGTTGGATTCACAATTACTTTTTTGGCCATCGGGGCGTCTCTACTGTCCAGTAAATAAAATTGCAGTAATTATTGCCATATATATGCAATGTATATTACCACCAAGAACTGCTTGGATATCTGTTTCCCTCACAATGCCTGTCTGCCAGTATTGTTGGCTGTAAATGGGCAACATGTCTTGCATTACATATTTTTTTGTGACATTTTGTGTAATTTGAAATAAGTTTGCACAAACATCGGTCACGTTCGATTTATGATTCTTAGTTTTGTGCAATCATTCTCATGCATGTTTTTAGCTATTGTGGTTGTGTTTCTCAGTGTTATATAAAGCTACTCCATATAGACTCAGAAGTCATCGAAACGAAAGCTTATTGGAAACTTTTGACAGTATTTTTTTCCATTGCAAGGCTTTAGACTTTGCATGCTGCTGGACTTTATTTTCTACCTCCTATGGCTTTGTTATTCTGTCTGTATTGTGCCGCTTCTTTGCATCAGTTTGTGGAACTTCATCATTCTGTCTCTAGTTACCCTTTTTATTTAAGTGTTATATTGCAAATAAGAAGCTAATTTCAAGCTCCGCTCCGTCCAGAGGCCCGATCTGCCTTCCTCTGTTGAAGTGCGTGAGTCTTTGTTTGTGTGCGTTTTTCAAGGGGGGCCATTAAAGGCTGCAGCGTGCAATAATAGGAACTGTTCTGTGAGCGTATACTTCATCTCCCCTGATGAAGCCGATTCACAGAAATCAGGCCGGTTGTTGCTCAACCACTTAGACATCTGTTGAATGTTTTTTCTTTCTTTTTTTTCACTCGCTTTCCTTTTTCTTCCTTCTACAGCCTCAAATGGTTCCTCTGAGGAGCTCTTAGAGTCATTCACATTCTTACAGTAAAGCCGTCTCAATGAGTCACTCATTCAGAGCAAGCATTGGTCTGAATCAGGGCTTCGCGTCCTATAAGAGGTCACACATCCGGTGCAATTGCGACAGCGAAGCTTTTTGGTTGCGTTCGTTGATTGAGCTGCACCTGTGAATCACCTGTTGGTTTTTTTCTCAATGAGTTATTTGGACTAAAGGTTATGCTTCTGATTTACTCCGTCGAACTTCAGATTCAGCAGTTAGTCCTTCATCTGAGTTGTAGACCACCAGCCCACATTAGGATGGCATTATTTTTGCTTGGTGCCCTCTGCAGACCTAATTGAGTAGAACTGCTCTAATTGTGCACAAAATAAAAGATGAATGACACAACTTCTAAAAGCAACAAGGTTGAGCCAAACTTTGTCTCTAAATTAATGACTAAATCTCTTTACTTAAACATCTTCTGTTTTTCCAGCAGCATAACACCCTCCTTCCTTCACTGTATTGTTGATTTTACCTTTTTTTTCTTTCTCTTTGCTTTAAAACATCTGCGGAAAATTCTGCTGAAACCAAAACTTAGTATTTCTCTAAGAAAATACAGCTGTAGCAGCAATTTTGGTTCAGGCTGAAATCACTAAATGAGTCACATCCCTCTCCGTTCTGTGTCACTTTGTCCCTTATTGATAATATTAGTCGCTGTGGTTGAATCAGAGAGCTTTGAAAGTTACGAGCGAGGACATAAATTGTTCTTTTGATGTGTGTATGTGAGTAAGGTAGCCCTCCTCTGTCTGTTTTTTATGCGTGTGCAGGATTAACAGACATTCCTCAGGCTCACACACTGTCACATAGACTCAAACTCATCCGGTGCACAAATCCCTGGAATCTGTCCTCCCTGCCCTTACTTCTGCTCCCCATCTCTCCCCTTCTCTCCTGTCCATTGTGTCCTTCACTGTCTCGTCTGTTTCCTTCTGCTTCTGCTCATCCTCTACGCTTTTTTTTTTCTGCTTTCTTGTTGTTCTTCTACTAAAAGGGTCTGGTCTTCTCAGCTTATTTATTTTTTTTAGCATTAACGAATGATAGTTTAGATTAGAAACAAACCGATACATCAGTCAGCCGATATCTTTGACCGATGTTTGCATTTCGTTTTTATTCCTGCTCCCTTTATTTTTAATTGTTAAAACTTTGTTTGATTTAAAAAAAAAATATTTTTCACTTTTTATTTAAATTGGAACTTACATAACATATTTATCATGTAAAAGGAGGAAGAATAAAAGTTATATCGGCTTCAAGAATTGGTCGTCAGAGAATCGGCAGCTCATAACGAGGATCACTTAGACCAGGGCTGTCCAAAGTTGGTCCTCAGGGGCCTCTGTCCTGTATGTTTTAGAGGTTTCCCTGCTTCAGCAGAGCTGATTTTCTGTTGTTTACTGATTAACAGGCTTTTGCTGAACTGCAATCATCAGAATAAGCTGTGATTAAGCAGGGAAACCTCTAAAACCTGCAGGACTCGGCCGACTTTGGACATGCTTGGGTTAGACTGATGTCATATAATCGCCATCGGCCTTTAAAAAACTGTATTGGTCAACCTCAAGTATAAATAATGTTACTCCAACTTTGAGGGAACATATCAGAAGTTCTTGTTGCAAAATGACGACGCACCAGAGAGGACAGCACAAGCTTCACTTAAGGTTAAGTTAGAGAAAGAGATCGTCCAACAAGTGTCTGACCCCAAAATGTGTAAATGTGCTTCTGCAAGCAAACTGTTGTTGGACGGTCTGTGCTCCTTGTTAAAGGTGGATGTTATGATGTTTAAACATTTCTAGAAACTGTATAAAAAGCTGTACTGGAAGACATAAGGCTGCTGTTGCTGCACACTTCATCTTAAAGTGCTTCAAAAAAGATTTTTTTTTTCAGTTCCGGTGGATTTGGCTCCACCCAGTGGACAACAGCTGTATTGTTTTACTTGAAGGAATACAGTATTTCCCATGTGGACCAGCGCATAGCTGTGGTAAAATCCTTCAAGTGGACATTTCGGTTTCCAGTGGCTTTTGGAAAGATGAATCGAACTGTAGCAAAAAAATGTCATATGCCGATGTTGAAAGTAAACTTTTACTACGACAGATGTGTCATTCATCTAGTTGTAAGTTGACCTATAATCACAAAAGTTGTGAAAATACTTTATGAAGGTTGAAAAGTTACTTTAAACTCGGTATGCAGCACCAATTGTCACTTAACTTCAAATGTATGTAAAGGCAAAAAGAAAATACTTTACTAGAGTTTGGAGGTTCCACGTTTATTGGGTGTTTTATCCATATTAAATGAAACAATGTGGGAACACAGATGTGACTGATTAAATATGAATCATTGAAGAATTGGATAAAAATGGGAATTTAGCTCCTAATATTTAGGTTGGACTCTGAGTGTCGATCACAGCAGTGTTTTTGTTCTTGAGCTGAAGGGTAAACATATTTTCCAAAGGCTACAGTAATAGATAATAGAGCTGTTACTCTACGATAAAAGGTGCCAATCAAATATTAAAACTACAATAAAACATCTTCATGTTTGCGTTCACGCCGTCACCCACTTACCAGATGTTTTTGTTCTTCTTTCCACCTGTTATCTCATTCATTCACTGTAATGAATTCTGAATAAAAGGGTTTATCCATCGTTGTTCTATTTCCCTGCAGGGAGTCACTATGGTGACTGAAATATAACATTTGCTGTGAATATTTTGAAGTACGCCAAACGTGCAGCTCTTGGTGAAGCTTTGAAATTAATCCAGTATTTGTTTTTCAGTTTTAGTTTATGAGTAAAACATTCAAATAATTATATCATACCCCAAGGCGATGGATTAAATGCAGAGTGCGAATTTCTCCAATGTAAGATCAGTAACGTTCAATTATTTATTTTATTAATATATTTATAGGTCAGCTAAAACACTTTTCCCTCCGTCGTTTTGGTCAATCTATCTCCTTGATCATTTTATTCACATCCACACTCTGTTAAAGTATCAGAACATCCCTGTTTGCGCTGCAGGTGAACCAGGCAACTGGACCAGCCCTCGTGTCTCATCTTTTTATTCAAACAGTTCTGAGCGATCAAACCTCGGAGCTCTGCCACAACAAACTCAGTTACACTACAAGCGGCTGCTTTGTTTTTGGACTGAGGGAGGCTTTAGAGGGACTCACACAGTAAACACATTAGACAGACACTGCCTCTGTATTACTGCCTGAGCGGCAAACATCTGGTTCTTATTAATTATGTGTTGAGACACTAAATGGCTTCAACGCCAGCTACGGGTTAGTATAAACTACCTCTTTTGGTGTCTGTAGCTTAATCAGTCAACTTTGTCCTAATATCTATCACCGGTACTCTGTTTTCTCTTTAATGCATGGAAGTTGTTTTTGCAGCAACTATCAGTTTGATTATGTCTGCCTGGGTTATTGCTGTAACAATGTGTTCATTATTTGTTTTGAATTCTCTTTCGATGAACTTGTCTTACATCGAGATGTGCGTCTGACCCAGTAGAGGAGGTTTCTCTGTGTTTAGATTCAGCACCTGGTGTGAAAAATGTCCAATCCGCTGCAGACTAATAAGGTTATGTTCTTTTTTTTTCAGGCCTCAAGTCCCAAACTGACAACTCACTGCTCAGATATCCAAGAAGTCCGTCGCTGCACCCGACTGGAGATGCCTGACAACTTAAACACATTCGTTTTAAAGGTATCTTACAAGTTTCCAGCCTGCAGCACACTTAAGATGTAGCTTCAGAGGTGCTGGGATCCTCCTCTGATTTAATGTGTGGTTTTACGCAGATAACTTCAGCTGAGCTGGAAGATACATTGGCTGCTCTAGTGACAACAGTTTTTGATATTTAGACTATTGCTTCCACAATGCTCTTATTGTATTTTAAATATCAGTAAGCTCAGATTAATAGTTTAGATATTACAGATGATGTCAGCCCACATCGCAGGGGTCACACATCCAGGATTGAAAAAGTATTGCAATCATTTTTAGCTATTTCCAGGTAACCACACAAGACAGTGAGTTATTCATTGATCCACTGGAGCCACATGCCAGTGGAGGAGAAGCAAACGCTGCAAGTCGATAACGGGGTGAAATCTACTGGCATTCCTTCAAAAACTTTTCAAACTATTGGAACAATTAGAGAATAAAGAATATATATATATGATATAAAGAAAAATAAACGTAACTTTGACAGCACTGATGGTTAACTAGGGTGAGTCTGTATGATGAAGAGACCATGTTATGAGAATTGGCGTTAATAAAGTAAAGTGAGTTGAACTGAATTTTTATTTTTCAGTTTAAAACCTGAATTTATATATATTTTTTTTAAGTTGACAAATTTAGTTGCATTTCTGTTTATATGTCTAAAGTTCTCAGGTCTATATTTAATACAGAAAGTTATGCATATTTCATACTTTTAAAACATTTAGTCCCTATTCTGCAATCGAGTCTTTAAACCCTTTTTTTTATTTTCTATACGACACAAAAAGATTATTAAAGCACCTCAATATCTGACAAAATGAATTAAAAACAGCTAAAATCACAAGCTGTGAGAGACGTTCAAAAATCAAAGACTACAACTTTTGGTCTGAATTTGTTACTGTAATAAAATTTTGTGCGAAATAAGATGTTTGAAATCAGTAAAAATCTGAATGAAGCCTCATGTCAGTTAACATTTATCTATAGGTGTCTCCTAATAGAGAACAGATATTAAGCTGACTCTTCCTAAGTAATGAAGGACATTTTGTTTCTGCAGGTTAATCGAGGGAGTCTGATATTTGAGACGGATAACGACCAGCAGGTCAGCTCCTGGACCACAGAGCTAAAGGAATGCATCAGCAACAGGTAAGAGACACCATATAATTGAAACAGTTGTTTTATTTGAGTGATTTATTTATAATTTAATTGTTTTTTATGTAATTCTAACAGAATATGATTCCAGTTTTTTCCCTGCTTCGATAGATGATTGATTACAATTGATAAGAACCCAGTACTTTGCTTATCAGAAAATACGATAGTTTACGTCAGACCTATTTGAAGTACCAACCTTTAATACAAAATTGTTATTTTCTGGCTAATTAATGAGGAGGACTGTTGGTCAGGAAGTAATGAAGCACTAAATGTCACAGCAAAGAGAGCGGGAAAGTGAAGGGGAGGGAAAAAATGTACAGCCAGGGTCGTCTGAGGCAAAACACTTGTAGTGATTTCATTAGTTTGTGACTGTATTAAGTTGATTTTCTACAGCCGCCACCATGGCTGTGGGAAGTGTCGAGGGAAATGTATAAAAAAAATACTTTGCACAAGTTATTAATTTCTTATGAATATTTTGGGAAATGATTTGACTTTCTTATTTTACTATTACGTGTATTTGGATTTTAATTTAATCATTTTAAGGCCTAATCAACCCATGTTCATGGAAGTTACGTTGTCATGGTAATGTCAAGCAAGATAGAGCGTGGTCTCCCGCTTTCAGCAGCAGACTAGCATATGTAAATAGTCTGAAAGAAACAAAAGGAAATAAGGCACAGAAACGCATTTCCGATTTTTCTGCTGATGAGAGACTTTATCTCCACGGCTGAGCATTTAGACACAGGGCACACTGCCAAAAGCGTAACGACACAACAATAGGCCTGTAAGCAACATTATCTGGGTGGGCCCCATACATACACACTAGAGACTGACATTTTTTTGGGAATCCCATGGGTCACGGGATTCCCGTGGGATGGGAGTCAGTATTAGTAACAATCACGGGATTGGGACGGTACAGGATTAAACATTAACGGGAGCAGACGGGAGCGGGAGCAAACCAATAGTAACTTCCGCTCTGAGTTTTTCACCCGCGCTCAAAAACAACAAGAATGGGAGTGGTGCAGGAGCGGGAGTCATTCTGAATGGGAGCGGGATGGGAGTGGGAGTAATTTCACCAGGAGTGGGACGGGACAGGATTTAGATTTCTACTCTGGCCAGGGATCGGGACGGGACACCATTTTTTTCTGTGGGAGTGGGACGGGACAGGAGTGAAAATTCACTCCCGTGTCAGTCTCTAATACACACTTCATCATTCTTCACCTTCACTAGACACGGATATACTTTAGTATATTCTGCTGTAAAATGAGTATTATCAGGGTACCTTCAGTTTTACAGCCCCCCTCCTCACCCACGCTCTCTCCATTCATCTCCTGGTCGCAATCTTTACTCACTTTCTCGCTGTCGTTCTGGCTCGTACCACTCGCGGTAGAAGTCTGCTTCTGGAGGACCTCCGCATTCCCACGCCCGCGGCTACCGTACTTGTGTGTTGAAGCAAATGTGGATGGTAGCTGTAAAAGTCCATAAATTAGCCGCATTGTTATATAAGCCGCAAGGTCGAAAAATAGGGAAAAAGTCGCGGCTTATAGTCCGAAAATTACGGTAATTAAAAGTACCACTGTCTGCTTTGCTATTGGTGTGGTGCTTAAACGGCTCACCATCATGTTGAAATCTGCCATGTGTTTGGGTATAAGTACAGTCCGGTGCGGTCAGACACTTCAGGATCAGTTGGGTTTAAGAGGAATTTTTCTCACCTTTGCATCTGCAAAGAGACATCTTAGTCCACAATTGCATAGGGGGCCCACCAGGTGTCAGTGACGGTGACAGTCTCTGCTTACGGATATTTATGGATATTTACGCCACTGCACCCTGTCTGTAGCTCAGAGTAAGAGAGCTAAATGTAACCATAGTATTTTAGAGTGTTATTTTGATTCTGGGTTCTTTATCTAATGGACGTGGAGAACTGTTCAATAACGTTTAAATACTATAATAATGTAATTATTTCCTTGTGGTTTCCGTAAAAGGATTTTGGAGCTAATAGAGTCTCGTGTGACATAAAAACAGTGGCTACGGTTCACGCCAGCTGACTGAATCTGTGTTATTGTGAAGTTTATTTAATAGCACATATATTCACCTGAGAACTGATACACATCAGTGCACATGACAATAAAGCAGTGAATCTCAATCTATTTACTTTTTTAAATTTTATTGTATTTCTTATGAATATTACCAATGACCCTATAGGCTCATAGGTCTTTTGTCCCAAAAAAACAAAAACATTTTCACTGAACCCCGTTCAAAAGTACTTCCAGCGGCCCTGGCCGCCACACAGGAGTATGGGTCACGACAGACATGGGTCACAACTAGGGAAGATTCATACATCTACACATGGAAGCATCTTTATAGGTGTTGAACGTAAAACTGGGGACGATGTTTAGAACCTACATTTTCTAAGAAACTGTGTTGTCTGGGTAAATTATCTGTAAGTATCAATTATCAAATCAATACTTTAACTATAGAACTCTTTGTTACTTAAATCTACACAGGTTTCACTTTTGAAATCAGTACACTTTCATAATATAGTACTTTATTAATTCAAAATACAGGTATTGGTTGTCAAAGCTGCATCATTAAAGCTTTAAAAATCTATAAATTAAAGCTAACTGAATGCTGGTTAGCTGTTAGATGAAGACATTAGGAGCCCTGAGGCAGACATGGGCAATGTGGAGTCAACAAGTCATCTCCATGTCATTTATTTGTTCTACTCAGCCACTGAAGCAGGTGAGTCCAATCTTCACCGTGAATCAACCTGTGCAGATTGGACTCACCTGGTTAATTGGCTGGGTAGATTAAATACATGACATGGAGATGACTTGTTGACTCCACATTGCCCATGTCTGCCCTGAGGTGGTTTTTAAAGCAGTATTCCGTTCATCGTCTTTAAACGCCAGTTTGTCCTCATGCAGCTTTTTCCTCTGCATAAAGAGACCCTGAGCAGAAATAACTTATTTTTCTTCTGCTGGCTGAGCTGGGTGTTTATTCATGCTGAGAAATGTGTGTGTTAAGTGAAAGGGCTCTTTAAGGCGTTTGTGAGGACTGCTTAGAGTGCTCTTCTGTCCGTTTGTTCGTGCGTCGGTTTGATTTGTGGCTCTTCAAACCGGAGCGGGTTAAAACTGGGTTCTGTTTGGAGTATTTCTCCAGGTAATATTTAGTTTTCAACCTTTTAAAAGTATCTTTAATGACAAGTAGACTGTTTAAACTTGAACTAGAGGAACAATGTTGGTTTGGATTGGCGGGGGGGTCAGAAATGAGAGCTGCGGGAGGATCCAGGAAGTTTTTCCTTCATTCTGTTAGAAACGCTCCGACTCCCTACATGACTTGTAGTTTCCTCGCATTTTTTAGGGGAATAAAGACAGATCATGTGTGTGTTCATTTACATAAACTATAGAAACCTGGGAATTGAAGGCTTTTTTTCTGCAGATGTTTAGATTTAAACTCTTAATTTGATGACTGCTAATCACTGAGTTTGGATTTAGTTTTTTATTTTATTTTAAGTCAATATTTGCTGTAATCTGAATCTGTTTAAGGTGTGTGGGAAATTCGGAAAGCTCAGTTTAGTCCAGTCTGTGGGAAATATCCAGTCTTTGCAGAGTGTTTGAGGAAAAATATCTGAATCTAGATCCAGGATGCTTCACCATTTTGATGCATCTTACACTTTGCAGACTGATCAGCCTGTTCTTCTGTTAACTTTGTGATGGAAAAATTCCATCAGTTTATGGTTTACCTTTCCAGAGTGGTGTTAGTCTGAGACAATATTTGACATCTGGTAATCCCTGTAAAGCAATAGTCTGCTGGACAGCTGGGCCTCCTGGATTTGGTCCAGTATTTACAGAAACAATAGAGCGCCTTTAACCTGGCTTTAAAGGAATAGTACACCCAAAACATGATTAGCCTTCATTTTCTACTCACCCCCATGCTGAACAACCCTCTGGAGTACTTTTTTGATATCTCAAATGCATCTGGAGATCTGGGAGGCTTCTTGCTGTCTGCTGACATTCAAATAATGGAGGTCTATGGCGCCCGAGGCAGAAAGGTCCATAAAAGTCCGCAAAAAACGTGTCAATATTCCTCCATACTGCTCGTCCAATGTATTCCAAGTGTCCTGAGTGGGTAGCATCCAGAATTTACTCGAAACGAAGTCATTTAGAATGTTTTTAGAGCATAAACAGTAGTGTATAGGATTTCCTAAAAGCGCGTTCACGAGTCTACGGAAACCGCGGCAGACCAAACCAGACGAAAGTGCGCATTCAGCGTCTGCTCTGCCGATAATGCAAGCGTAGAAGAAGAAATGTGCTGTTTACCTGTGCAAAGAAAGAAACAACGAAAGAAAAATGTCTGAGGACTTCAGTGTTGAGGAAGAGCATGAGTTCTTTGCCGAGCTGAATGCGCACTTTCATCTGGTTTGGTCTGCCGCGGTTTCAGTAGACTTGTGAACGCGCTTTTAGGAAATCCTATACACTACTGTTTATGCTCTAAAAACATTCTAAATGACTTCGTTTCGAGTAAATTATGGACGCTACCCAATCAGGACACTTGGAATACATTGGACGAGCAGTATGGAGGAATATTGACACGTTTTTTGTGGACTTTTATGGACCTTTCTGTCTCGGGCGCCATGGACCTCCATTATTTGAATGTCAGCAGACAGCAAGAAGCCTCCCAGATCTCCAGATGCATTTGAGATATCAAAAAAGTACTCCAGAGTGTTGTTCAGCATGGAGGTGAGTAGAAAATGAAGGCTAATCATGTTTTGGGTGTACTATTCCTTTAACATCTAAACATGTGGACAACCATGTTGTCTGTATGAAAAGTGCTTTGTAAATAATGTTTGGCTGCTGGGAAAGAACCATGAAAATCCTAAATGTTGGGTTCTTTAAGAAGAAATGTTAAAATATATATTTATTTTCTGATTTAAAAAAAAAATTATTAAAACTAAACAACTTTTTTTTACTTAATGACATCAGCAAAATGTGTTTCATGTAATTTCATGCAGCCATCTTAGTCTCTGACGACACACTGAGGAACTGCTCAGTTTTTCTTAAGTTGTGATTTCCTGTTCATTTTTAGTGATACGGATTTGAGCCCAGTGGAAGGTGAGGAAGATGTTGAGAGGAAAGAGAAAACCTGTGTTATAGGGGGGTCATATAAGGCTGGCCATCTGTTTTTAAACACGCCTAAATGCTGCCGACTGGCTGTGAACAGGAGCGACTGACTGCTGCCATCATTTCATTTTACTTAAAATGAAATCAGAAGCTAAAAGCTGTTAAACTCTATTTAAAATACTATATTGTTTTTTTTTTGTTTTTTTTCTATTTATTTTTTATTATTTAATTTATTTTTATTTAATTTATAATTCTTTTTTATTTAATTGTTCAACATTTTATTTTCTTATCTTAAGATTCTGGAAGAAAAGAAGGGTTTATTTTAGGGCTGAAACTAACCATTATTTTACAAATCGATTCACCTGTTGTTTATATTTTCAATTAATCGATTAATAATCAGATAGTCAAAGTTTCCTTAAAGAAGATGTTTTTCGAAATTAAACCAGGTGAAAATAAAACCTTTCGACTTGAGTTCTGGATAGAGCATATAGACAATCTTAAAAGCAAAATGTTTATATACTTTTTTACAATCTTGATATAATTACTGGTATAAGTGGTTGGCTCTGTCAGCTAAAGGCTTGTTTTACAGTCTCTATAATCCAGTTAAAGATGAATGGATTACTAAATTAGCTGATGATTATTTCAATAATCGATTGTGATTAATCCAATTAATTGTTTCAGCCCTAGTTTATTCACTTTATTTATGTTTTTCTTTTTAATCTGCTGTCATACACACATACATGCGTATTACTCATACCAATGTAAAAAACTTCAGCACTACTGATTAATGGAGAACATCTAAGACCTTCTTTATATGAGAAGCAAAGAGACTTTAGTGATGGGATGATCAGCAGCTGCTGGTGAGGTGATTGATGCCATTCTATATGAAGCCTGTAAAGGCAAGGCAGCTTTATTTGTATAGCACATTTCAGCAAAAGGGCAATACAAAGTGCTTTACATAAAATCAGTTAAACAAATAACTAAAACACAGAAGAAACAGTTAAAAATAAAAAAATAAAACACAAGAATAAAAATGACAGTGCAGTATAAGAGATTAAACAGTAAAGAAATGAACGCCGTTTAGAGAAAGGCAACATCAAAAAGAAAGGTCTTCAGCATTGGTTTAAAATAAATGAGAGTATCAGCGGACCTGCAGGTTTCTGGGAGTTTAATCCAGATGTGAGGACCATAGAAACTGAAAGCTGCTTCCCCCTGTTTAGTTCTGACCCTAGGAACAGAAAGTAGACCTGTCCCAGATGACCTTAGAGGTCTGGGGGGGTCATGGTGTACTAGCAGGTCAGAAATGTATTTTGGCCCTAAACCGTTTAGTGATTTATAAACTAGAAAAAGTACTTTGAAGACACAGGAAGCCAGTGTAAGGACTTCAGAACTGGAGTGATGTTATCCAGTCTCTTGGTCTTAGTGAGGACTCGAGCAGCAGCATTCTGAATCAACTGCAGCTGTCTGATTGATTTTTTAGGGAGACCTGTAAAGACCCCGTTACAGTAGTCAAGTCTACTGAAGATGAAAGCATGGACAAGTTTTTCCAAGTCCTGTTGACACATAAGTCCTTTAACCCTTGATATATTCTTAAGGTGATAATAGGCTGACTTTGTAATTGTCTTAATGTGGCTGTTAAAATTCAGGTCGTCGTCCATGTAAAGAACGACTGACTATAAGGTGGGGGATTCTGGGAACCTTAGAGGATTTCTCTGTTCCTGGAGCTCCTGCCTGAAAAGTCCTCAGTGAGACGCAGGAAATGGCCGGCAGATTGTCCCGCAGATAGAAGAACAAAAACACAAACGCACTCAGCGAAGCAGAAGGAGACTCTGCTTTTCCTGTTATTCAGAGCAACACAAAGTCAAGTCAGCATTTCAACAGGATTTTCTCCAACTTCCCTCTTTAACATTCCCATTTTCTCCTGTAGATCTAAACACACACAGCAGGCAGACTGTGTGTGAGAGCGTTGAAACAGAGGAACAGAGGGTTTCAGTTCGAGCTGAACCAGTGAACAGGACAGACTTCCTGTCTGATCTCAGTGTTTCTGTGTTCCTGTAGCCTGCTGTTTCCTCCCCATTAGCAAAGCCTACCAGCATGTGCATTAGAGTGGAGGATAGTAGAATTGTCAAATCTGTAAGAGAATGGATCGATTGAACTAAATCTGATGCAGAACCCAAACATCATTTAGTAGATCGTTTAAAAAGAAGAATGTATACTGATAAAACTGAGTCATGCTGTCCCTCTCAGGCCAGGCAGTGTGGATCTGGAGTCCCCCCTGTCCTCAGCTGACAGCTCTGTTCCAGCCAATCAGAGGAGGAGCTCAGATTCAGGAAGTCAAGGTCAGTAGCAGGAGCGTCTTATGATCAGGATGTTTTTTAATAAAAAGCTCACCAATAGGTCAAAGGTTTATATACTTGTGGATTTAAAGCTTGTTTTTTTTCCTTTCTCCAGGTCCTGTCACCCTCAGTCTGCCTGAGCAGGTCATCCAGAAAGCCGATGACTTCCTGGTTTCTTTCCCCTGGTTTCACGGGCCCATCTCTCGGGTCAAAGCGGCCCATCTTGTCCAGAGCTCCGGCCCTGAAGGTCACGGCGTGTTCCTGGTCCGGCAGAGTGAGACGCGAAGGGGAGACTTCGTCCTCACGTTTAACTACCAGGGCAAAGCGAAGGTGAGCAGACCTGAATGTCCTCCACTGAGGGAACACTCCGGTTCTCCGTGTTAAACCGAGGTTTGTTGGTTTTATCTCCCTGTTATGCAGCACCTGCGCCTGTCTTTAAATGAATGGGGTCAATGCAGGGTGCAGCACCTGCGCTTCCCCTCCGTCATGGACATGCTCAGCCACTTCCGCCTCTACCCTATCCCGCTGGAGTGCGGAGCCGCCGGAGCCGTCACGCTATCCAGCTTCGTACTGGCCGGCTCCATCCCACCATCACACGGTGAGAAAGAACTCTGACTGGATGCAACACTTTCTAGATGCATACACCTAGAATGTGGATGACGCAGGAGCACATAGGAATCCTAAGTGCATTCAACTGGACATGACCAGTCCATTTTCTTTCTTCTTTTTTTTTTCTAAATCCACAAGAATGAAGTTATTTTAAAACGATATGGGGAATAAATGTTGCCTTTGCTCATGCGTTGCCTTCCCTCCTCAGGTCAGCTCTCTGGCGCTCTCCTCGTCCCTTTCTCCCTCCATCGGTGGAGCTCTGAACCCAGCTTGGCGCGCTGCAGCCTGGCCAGCAGCTCCGGTCCGCCCCCTGCATTCTCCTCCTCCACCACCAGCACCACCTCCACATCCAGTCCCAGCTCCTTCACCCAGGTGGCCCGCGCCGCGCCAGAGCCCGCTCCATCAGCGCCGGCTCATCTGCGTCGGAGCGAATCGGTGGGGAGGAGGCCTCTGCTGCGCAACCCCAACCCTCACACTCCCATCATCCCTCAGCGGGACTCGGATTATGAACTGGAGCCCGACCGCAGTCGCAAGCGGGCGATAGACAACCAGTACATGTTGCTCTGACGCACCCTGCCAGGACAAGATGGCCGCTCCGACATGGCGTCGGTGGCTCAGATTCAGAGCGTCGCCTTCAGGAACAGAAACGTGCTTGAAAGAAGCCGACGGACACGAGGGAAAGAATCCGAACAAGTCCGAAAAAATGCAAAACACACTCAAAAACAAGTTTGCCCCACCCTCAGAACCTCCAGCGTCCACAGTGAATGTATTTCTAGGAGTTTTTTTAAGAGTGTTAACAACGATGAATAGTCTTGTTTTCAATGAACGAGCTTAGGCAGAAGAGGAAACCTTTTCTAACACCTGTTGTTGTGTTTTTCTTGAAAGTGCACTTGATGTCATTTCTTCAGCACTTAACCTGAAATGATGGGAAATCGCCGTCTGCTCCTTCGGGAATGTTTAGGGCATGAACTAGTCACAAAAAGTTCCCCAAGCAGAGCGAAAACCTCCACCTTGGAACACAAGCAAGCTGCGCTCCTTTTCTCTATGGGATCAGATTCTGTTCTTCCTCATTGAGCGTTTTTTAAGCATCAAGTGCGCCTCACCTTCAGTGCACTTTGTTTATTTTTTTTCTATACACAACCTTTTGTAGAAAAATAAAATAAAAAGTTAGAGGGAAAAAAAGGAGAAAAAGTTCTAGAAAGATGTAGTTTTAGAAACCAGATTGCTCTTAAAAAACAACCACAAATTCAGGATGGGATTGTCGGCGCCGCTGTGGTCTGCTTGTGTTCACAGTCTGGGTTTGTGTCGAGTCAAGCGGAGTCTATAAATAAGCTTCGATTTTCTTTTTAATCAACCAAATAAATTATCCAAATCAAAGAAAATGCCACAAAATAAAAAAAACTGGAGGGACGGTGATAATTTTAAAAGTTCCAACCACTTCCTGTTCAGAAAAACCTGAGAAATGAGGCCCATATGAATGGAGTTTATAAATAAGCCATTACCACTTAGACACATACATCCTCCAATTTCTTCAAACCAGAGCAGGAATGTGTTCATTTTTGGTGTCTTTCTCCCTACTTCGTGTCGTCAGTCAGGTTCTAATGTAGCACTTTTACATGTTTGTCCATCAGAATTTCCAAAAAAGTGAAATAACAATCCACCGGACTTTTATTTTCCAAGTTTAAAGATGTTTCGCTCCCCATCCAGGAAGCTTTTTCGATTCAAAATGTCTGGATTAGTGTTGAGCTCCAGGCTTTATAGCATTTGAATTGGAAAAAGTTTTCTGGATGGAAAGTAAAATGTCTCGAATCTTGGAAAACAAAGTCCAGTGGTTTGGTTTTTTTTTTACCTTTTTTTTTTTAGAAAGACTATAACCTGGATGACAGAAGATGTTCACCAGCATGTGCAGCAGAGAGGCTAACATCTGTCTCTATAATAAGGAATGTTTCCAGGAAATCACTTTGGATAAATTTAATCCCAGATCTGTCAGGAAAAAAAGAAACGGATCAATTTTCAGCCTTTTTTCAGGTATTTAAAATCTTGTTTAGACTCGAGGTTAGTCACCTAACCCTGAGATAAGCTGAAAGATGGTGCTGAACTCTGATCAAAAACAGACAAATAAAAAGGTACTAAAATCCATTATTAATCCGTAAAAAGGCGACTCCAGTTGATTGCTTTTGTGGCATTAAAAAAATGAGGGAATTCTCCGAATCACCAGAAAGCCTTCGCTTCCAGACCGAACCAATGATCGGACTGAATTCCAGTTAACATTTGACTCAGTCTGCATGATTTGTCCAGTTACCTGTGAAGTGATGCAGCTCAGCCGCTACCACCACATCAGGCACCTTTTTTTCCACATTCTGGTAGCAGCGTTGTCTTAGCTTTACTTTTTACACTTATAGCATTAATTCTTTGTATTTTCTCTCACTTCACAGCAGCTTCAACCAAAAGGGCTGCAAAAGTTTTGTTTTGTTTTTACACTAGATGTATTTTCTACTTGATTTTTATTTTTTTATGAAGTGAGGAGAACGTTTTCTAAACAAAGCTTTGAAGCTGTCTAAATGTGGCGTGGGATGTTGCAGAACCACTAACATTGGTAGTTAAAAAGGTGCCTTTAAAAGGTTTCGAACCGTCACAGCAAAACAACTCAGGTGTGGGTTTTAGTCACTGAAAGCTGAAGCGACTCCTATAACCAAAGCCCGGAGTTCTCCATCCAGTTTGTCGTGGTTCCTCTCCATCCGTAGGATGTCATCTCAAACTTTAGAGAACCAAAAAAAAACAAAGATGATCTGTAACCCTTCTGAAGAAAAGAAAAGCAGCTTCCCTTCCCGTCACAGCCGGATGACTTTGAGAATCATGTCTTGTAACGTTGCTTTAACACTACGTCAGCAGATTTATTTTAGATTTGCTTGCAGTCAACTTTTTCCTAACATTTGCCGTCTCTCTGCAGCCTGATTTTAAATTGTAATAATTCAATTTGCTTTGGGTATTTGTTTTTTTTTCTACCAAAGTAATATTTGTTAGTTTACTAATGGTTGTCGCGTCCTCTTTAATGTATTATCGTGATCTAGACTGACATCTGCTGAGGGGAACAAAAACAAGGATGTTTTTGGCAAACGTACGGTTGGTCGTCCTGCCTTTATGTCTGATTAGATTCCTTCATCATTGTTTCATTTCTGCTAAAGCAGAGCAACGGTAGAAACAAAAAAAAAAAAAACTCTTCGTTTTGTTTATTGTTTTTTTATTATTATTATTATTCCTGGGAGAGTGGCTGTGCCTTTGCCAGAAAGCTGCTGTTGCTTTTTCCCCTTCTCCAAAGCTCAGGGTGTGATCGTGCCGTGCAATAAATGAAAGATGCTTCACACCGTGCTAAATGGAGGAATCAAGTGCTTAAATCCGCTTATACACCAAAAAAAACATTTGAATAAAAACAAATCAAGAGCTGCCACATTTTTGATTCTTTTTTTTTACCCATCTACATTTATATAGCAGCAAAACATCGAGGCAAAGCTTGAAGCGTTATCATGGGGTCATTGGCCCCAAACAGCTCCCCCCTCCCCCGCGTGTTGTTGAATTGAATGCGTCCAGTTGATGAATGTAATGTGTTTTGAATACTGTTCCTCCTGTCTGTTAACTTCGCACTGTAAACATTTTCACATCAACGCAACATCCCGTCCACAGCAGCTTCTCACACGGCTCGTCGGGTAAGCATCCCTTTCAATTATGAGCATTTAAGTTATAGTATAAATATATATCAACTGTATATATGACTTTTATAAATAAACCTAACCCAAAAAAAAACGTGTTTTTTTCTCTCATTTTATTTTAATTAAAAGCAATACCTAAAGCATGGGTTTATATATTCTGTAGATTTACTTTCTAAAAAAAAATAATTTTACTGGCTTTAGTCAGATGCAGAGGCGTGCACAGACATTTTGGGGGGCAGGTGCTCAGGAGGGGGGGGGGGCACTTTTTAGCGCACGTGGAACACTTAATTATAAAAAAAAAATACACGCATGTAGAATGAAATTTGACTTTTATTTGTAACATTCTCTAAACGTGAGTTTTCAATGGAAAAAAGTCACACCACCAACAGAACAGACTAAAGCATACTTCTTTCATCTGGCTCATCTCCCTGTTTTCCCTCACCAATCTGTTCTCCCTCATCCTGGTCTTTTTCTGTCTCTGTGTCTATCCTGAACTCTTCCTCATCTCCTGTCCTGGTAGATGTTGATGGTATAGAGCTTCCCTGCTGTGACTGGCTACAATATATTAATAATAACCATCATGACAATAATAATAATAGCTTTAACAAATTTGCCACATTAGTTTAAATAATGGGCTATTAGGGCAACATGACTGGAAGTCTTGTCACGTGGATATGACTTATGGTAGCCTACAAAATAATAGCTATTTTAATACCTGCTGATTTTGTACAAACCACTGAAAAATAAAATATGAACAGCTTTTAAGATTTTTCAATACGATTAACCCTCCTTTCTTGGCATTGTGCTGCAATTACGAAATCAATATACAATTAAGACAATAAAGAGACCAAAATGTGTTAATTTATGTTGCCTAACAAAACCTATACAACAGAAAATGTCTTAACACAGATTTGTGCGGAAGAGGCTTAGAGCCACTGAAAAAAAATTCTGACATAAAGTCAGAATTCTGACTTTTTTTATTGTCAGAATTCAGTCAGAATTCTGAGATTAAAGTCAGAATACTGAGCAAAAAGTCAGAATTCTGTGATTAAAGTCAGAATTCTGAGATTAAAGTCAGAATTCTGACTTTTTTCCCATACTAAACTGAAATAAAATGTATTTATTTTTTTTATTTTTTTCTTCAGTGGCCCTAATCCTCTTCCGTAGATTTGCAATTGCAAACTCTACCGAAATTAAAATAGCATCCTACAAGGAGACAACTAGTTTATCAGGTGACCAGTCGGCAAAATGCTTGTTTGGTGCTGCTGAATGAGACATTTTAATGCACAACAAAATGATTTTGCTTGATCTGTATATTACCTGGCTAATGGGGCACGGGAGAAGCAGCCTGTCAGCGACCGTTCCTGCTATCTGAAGACGCTTACTGAACTGCTATGATGCTGCGCATCTGGCATGCCCTGTGGGCGACCGCGCGAGTTCACGTGACAAAGGAAGAGAGAGAGGCTGGTCGGGTGTGCGTAAGGAGGTGGCTCATTTCGGGGCATTGTTTCAGTCGTTTTTAATGGCTCAGGTTTTCAAAAGATCATTTCAAAACCGACCTCAGTAAAATCTTAATAATATTAACAATAATAATTTAAAAAAAACGAGTTTCAAAAGGGCATTTTCTTTGATAAAGGGCAAACTTCCTAGTGCTTTAGCACCACCTAGTGTCTATGTATGCACGCCCCTGGTCAGATGTATATTGTCCAGTTGGAAGAGCCATTGCTTCCTACTTTGTATTTTTTCTTGAAGGTGCCCCCAGCAGCATGATGCTGCCACCGCCGTACAACACAGTAAGGATGGTGTCAGCAGGAAAACTGCAGAGAGAAATGCTAATCGGAGGCCTTTGAGACCTTTCTGTAATAAACTGGAACATAATGTTTAAAAGAAGCTGATTAGAATACCCATAACTCAATTCAAAAAGAGAAACCTGCAAATTAATTTGAAGATAGATTGGTGTATTTCTGCAGTACATTTCTTTTTATTTTATTAAATACAGGTCCTTATCAAAATATTAGCATATTGTAATGAAGTTAATTATTTTCCATAATGCAAGGATAAAACTTGAACATTCATATATTTTAGATTCATTGCACACTAACTGAAATATTTCAGGTCTTTTATTGTCTTAATATGAAAGATTTTTTTTATTATCATTGTGCTTTAAGGTTTATAACTGGTGGTAGACATTAGATGCATCATTGTGATTTGTATGCAAAAGCTGATTGGCCTCCTTTAAGTGTTCGAAACAATCATTTGATGATCCTTATATATAAATCTCTCCTTGGACTAACACCAACATACTTAAGCTCTCTTTTGCATAGATCTAGTAGTTCACAATTTTTTACGCTCTGATTTTATTCTTCTACATGTTCCTCGTGTTCGAACTGATAAAGGAAAGAAAGCATTCAGTGTGTTTGCTCCTACAGCGTGGAATCAGCTCCAGTCTGAGCTCAAGATGTCAGACAATATTTCATTGAAACTTATTTCGAGCGGTTCTTAAAGATAGACGGCAAGCTTCTGTGAAACAGCGTTGCTGCTTTTAAATTGTTTTTGTTTTATATTTGTGCATATGTATTAATTGGTTTTATTTTTTTGTAACCGGGTCACCCTTGAAAATGAGATCCAGATCTCAACAGGGTTTACCTGGTTAAATAAAAAAAAATGAAATGTAAATTTTGGCATACAGCTCATGAAACCCTTAAATTCCTGTCTCACAAAATTAGCATATTTCATCCAACCAATAAAAGAAAAGTGTTCTTAATACAAAAAAAAGTCAACCTTCAAATAATTATGTAGTTATGCACTCAATACTTGGGTGGGAATCCTTTAGCAGAAATGACTGCTTCAATGCGGCGTGGCATGGAGGCAATCAGCCTGTGGCGCTGCTGAGGTGTTATGGAGGCCCAGGAAGCTTCGATAGCGGCCTTTAGTGTTGGGTCTTGCGTCCTTCAACTTTTTCTTTCCAATATCCCACAGATTCTCTATGGGGTTCAGGTCAGGAGAGTTGGCAGGCCATTGTCAGTAAACCATTTAGTAGTGGTTTTGGCACTGTGAGCAGGTGACGGGTCGTGCTGAAAGATGAAATCTTCCTCTCCATAAAGCTTTTCAGCAGATGGAAGCATGAAGTGCTCCAGAATCTCCTGATAGCTGTATTGACCCTGCCTGCGATAAAAAAGCAGTGGACCAACACCAACAGCTGACATGGCACCCCAGACCATCACCGACTGTGGGTACTCGACACTGGACTTCTGGCATTTCCTTCTCCCAGTCTTCCTCCAGACTCTGGCACCTTGATTTCCAAATTACATGCAAAACTGAGCAACAGTCCAGTGCTGCTTCTCTGTAGTCCAGGTCAGGCGCCTCTGCTGCTGTTTCTGGTTCAAAAGTGGCCTGACCTGGGGAATGCAGCACCTGTAGCCCATTTCCTGCACACGCCTGTGCACGGTGGCTCTGGATGCTTCTACTCCAGACTCAGTCCACTGCTTCCGCAGGTCAACCAAGGTCTGAAATCGGCCCTTCTCCACAATCTTCCTCAGGATCCGGTCACCTCTTCTCGTTGTGCAGGGTTTTCTGACACTTTTCCCTTCCCACTGAGGTGCCTTGATACAGCACTCTGGGAACAGGCTATTGGTTCAGAGATATCTCTCTCTGTCATACCCTCTTGCTTGAGGGTATCAATGGTGGCTTTCTGGACAGCTGTCAGGTCGGCAGTCTTACCCATGATTGGGGTTTTCCGTGATGAACCAGGCTGGGAGTTTTGAAGGAATCTTTAGAGTTAATTTGTTGATTCAGATGATTAGGTGCAAAGCTCGTTCAGAGTTCCTTTTTATGAGATAGGAATTTTGGGTTGAAATGTATGCCAAAATCATTATGACAATAAAAGAGTTGGTGTGCAATGAATCTAAAATATATGAATGTTCAAGTTTTATCATTACATAATGGAAAATAATGAACTTTATCACAACATGCTTATATTTTGAGAAGGACCTGTTTGGTTAAGAGTGAAAGAAAACCTAACATTTCCAAGTGACAGAACACAATCCTGTTAATAAAAAAATGTCAGCTTAATAGAAAGGAAAGGATGCCAACGTACTGCAAACAGTACCAGGTCAGGACTTATTTTACTCCATCGGGATTTTAAATATACTGATTGGTGCACATTTTCCTTCCACTAAACTTTCCAGTAACATTCCTGGATGAAGTATTGAACTAGCTTCTTTTCCCTGAAGTGTATATTGTTATGTATTAAAAGTTTAATTTAAGATCAAAAAAAAAAAAAACTAAGGTTTTGGTTTCAATTTACTGTAAGGTATAATTACCTAAATTTCCAGAATAGTCTTCTAATACACCATTAAATATTCATATATAATCAGAATGTAGGTGAAGAGATAAATCCACTGAGATGCTCCAGTTTTTAAGTTTGTTTCTGCCCGTAAACCTTATTAAACATTTAAAGATGCTCCTCTACGTTGGACCTATAAACAAACCACTGAGACATCATCCAGTTTTTAAAACTTTTTTATTGTTTTTAAGTTTTTTTGCTCATTTTTCTAAATTATTTATATTATCTACAAAGTAAAAGTTTTAACTTAAAAGTTACATCAGGGTCAGGTGAGATAGTGGGATCTGATCACCTCAGCCGTCATAGTTTTATAAATAATATTTCTCCTGTCCTCTGGGCTGCTTTATCTTATTTTTTTTCCCTCTCAAAAGAAGTTTCTGGTCGTTTTTCGGTTTTTAGTTTGGTTAGAAACTTGTCTTGTAGTTTGGAAACAAATGCAGCACTTAGCAGCAGCAGCAATAAACAGTAAGATTAATACTGTCTAAGGTTGGAAGATTTCTTTCCCATAACAAGGTGCAGACAGTAAACACGTTCCAGTTCTTAGCAAGGCTCTCATGTTTTACTCAGCAAGCTGACTCTAGTTGACCCTTTCTATAGCGGGGGTCGGGTCTGAACAGGAGACGTCTTGTTCTTAAAAACTTGTTAAAACATGTCGCTGATCAACTTGTTAACATTCACTTATTGCCTAGTCTGACTGGGAGGGAGAAGGGAGAGAAACGCTGAAGTGAAGCATGTCGGG